GAATATCATGCTCGAAAAGGACGTGTACAACCTCGACTTCGACGCCCTCACCTACGACGAGCTCCTGAGCATTCTCAAGCGGGTTACCCACACCCAGATGGAGGCCTTGGTCGTGCAGGAACAGCAAAGCCAACTGCTCGAGCAGCAGGAGGCGCACCGGGTGGAGAAGTTTCTCGATGTGGGGATTGACTACAAAGGCTCCAACGCCTCCTCCCCGCATCCGCGATCCCCCAACTCCGAGGACACGAATGGGAATAAAAATGAAGGGAACGACGAAGGTTATACCTACCACGCGATGCTCACAAACCTCTTTGAGGCGCTTAACCGGAATAATGAGGGTAGCGCGATGACGGAGCGGAACCAAATTCCCGTCCCCATTCTCGAAAAGATCGGCAAGAAGAAGACCGCCATCTCGAACTTCGGACGCATCTGTGAGGCCTTCCACCGCTCGATGGAGGATGTGAAGGATTTCATCGAGAAGGAGCTCTCCATTCGGGGTAACCTCGACAGCAACAACGCCCTGATTCTCAAATTTGAAATTCGCAAGGCGACCGATTTCGATCGCACCCTGATTAAATACCTGGATGAGTACGTCAAGTGTTACTCCTGCCATCGGATTGATACGACGCTGACGAAGGATGGGCGGCGGTTGGAGCTGCGCTGCAACTGGTGCACGGCCACCCGCACGGTGCAGGCGGTGAGCTCCGCGACGTATAGCGCGCAGATCGAAAAACGCTCCCGCCAACGCGCAGCGATGACTTTGTAAGAACGAAAATCGAAACCAGGGGGAGGATGAGAATGAGGAAGTTGGAAAAGAGAGGAAGAGGTATCAACGTTTGCCAAAACAAGCTACGCGAGGGGGTTATAAAACGTTTGTTACCGGTCCTTCTTCGACGCTGATGCGTGGCATAGTCATTTTGATGCTGAGGTCGTTGGGAAGTGTAGGCGGGGTTCACATGTTTTTTTCCCTGAAGTTGTGGTTCCTTTTGGCCTTTCTTGGTTTTCTGTCAAGACGAAGAAAGTACGAGACGCTATCCTGGGTAAAAATATTTAAAAAAAAGTTAGAACCAATTAATAAAATAATAGTCTGTCTAATGATCAAGGGAATGAAGAAAGATAAAATAAAAATCCATTAACGTATTATACGTGTAAAAGGTAGGACGCGGTACCCATCCAAGGGAGGGGGTACGTGTACGTTGCGTTGTAAGTATGCAGAGAAAAATGTTGGATTCCTAAAAAATTTGTCTTCATGAAATGGGACTTATGTTTATTTTTCGCTTTCGCTTAATTCCTTTGACATAGGCGGATCGGTAGAAGTGGATCTCTATTGAAGAAAAATAAATAATAAGGAACGTCTTACGTCCCTTAATCCGATTTTGGTGCAGTGAGAGGCTAAATTATTAAAGATCACTATTTAAACCCCCTCAAGGTGAATCAAGAGGAGAGGAAGAGGGGAACTTTGCCCTCCCTTGTCACTTGCGAAGTGTAAACTTATGAAGGAAAACAATGACTACCCATTCGCACCTTTTCCCCTGTGATTCTTGATCAAGGTTACAATTGGAATCTCCCTTTTGGTATATTACTCAGCGGGAGAAGAACATAAAATAGGGAAAAAATTGCATTCCCCCTTCCCTCCCCCCCCCCCTCCCTCCCTCAACACACATCATTTAGCACGACATTTTTTAATCGCATAGAGTTGTAGGGTGGTGCGGATGTTGAATAAATCCGCTCTCGCGCTCGCGTGGCTTGGCGGGACGGCCTCCAACCCCGCCCTCGGGTTTGATGCGCGCCCGGCAGGGGGGAAATTCGTCAACGTCCTCCCTGAAGGCGCGGGGCCGCGTCGTTTCGCCCCGCATCGGAACGCGGCCTTTACCGCCTCGGCAGGGGCGAATGAGCACTTCGCGCATCAACCCGAAATCCGCCAGGCGATCGCGACGTTGCCGCAGATGCAGCCTCGGCTAACGCGGTGGAATCGCCAGCTCCGCGCGGATATCTACGACGAGCTCTTGAAGCTTCCGTTGCGCTTCGCGCTGCACGATTTGGATCGCCTGCAGCGCCATCTACGGCACGTCGACGAGGCCGGGAACGACGACGGCGTCTACGCCGTGGAGGTGGACGGCGCGCGGGAGTTTTACGCCGTGGCGGGGCGAACGTCGACGGTGGGCTACGCGCCGCCGCTCGGCCCTGCCGATCCGTTCGATTGCCTTCCTTTTTTCGTGCATCGGAGCAGCAACGGGGGGCTGCCCGGGACGATCCATTCGATGCATCCGCGTAATTTAATGCCCGCCTTCTACATGCGCATCCAAGGCGTCGAGGGTGACCGCTTTCGCTTTGAGGAGGAGCTGATGAAAATATTCCCGACGAAGAAGATCTTCGTGCGGAGCCATTCGGTGTATGTGTACAATGTGGCGCAGGATGGTCGGATGGTGCTCCATCACTGGCTGCTCGGGTTGGGTTTTTAGGCGGCGCCGAAGGGGGACAAGAACGAAAAAGGCGGGGTATTAAAAAAAAAATGACGGACGTCTTCTCGCCATTTAAAAATGTTATTTTACTGGATGGGGGTTCAATCTTCCATGACGGTTTGTGCATTTTATCAGGAAGTTTGCTGAACAGTTTCCTCTCTATTTGTATCCTTTTTATTAGAAAGTCTCAAAAAGAACAAAAATTATTTAGCATCAAAAAAATAAGATATAAGTACGTGTAGATTTATTCTTTTTTTTTCTTGCATTATTTAGGCTGACTTTCCTACTGAATACGTCTTAGAAGTATCTGTGACACAATACATTTCTGAGACACGCTTTTCCATAGGATAGTTATACAAAAATAAAAAAAGCTCACAACTACCAATAACTTTCGAATATTAAACAAAGCCATCAAACATTTTAGGAGTCGCTTTTGTCATAATTTATTTTAACTTATATATATATATATACGTGAATGTATATACGCCAATATATATATCTGTGGATGTATAAAAATTAACGTTAATGTTTGTAGTAACACTTTATGCACTCCTTCTGGGCATAAAGTTTATTGCTGTGGCAATTATTGTTGCTAATACCGGGCTCTTGATAGGGTTTTCGCTCTTTATAACATATTTCGGGAGGTGCCAATCTATTGACGCTGAGACGAATTTCAAGACATGTTTGGACTCACTGCAGAACCCGCTTGTGAACTTTCTGTTTGGAAAGAGTAGGAATTTTAACCATGTTCACTTCATGCAGGTCTACGAGAACGATGAGAAGAGTTGGAAGACTTCTCCGAGGTTGTGCTGCTTTGATGAAGTGGAAGATGTCAGTAATCACTCCCCCTCTCCTTACATGAAATCGCCAATAGAATCTGAAATCAGCACATCTCAGTTGTCATCGTATGGTGTATGTGCCGATTCCAAAAAAGCCAAAACCACTATATATGACGATGACTGGTCGGCCAAAGAAAGCGGCAAACACGACGACCTTGACACCTTATACCATTGGTCCTCGACGGTTAACTGTTGGTCAGAAAACAACAACTTTATCAATGAGCCCCGTCCGTATCTACTTGCGTTTGATAATATCACGTATATGCCAGTTTACTGCCGCCCAGAAGATGATCACGAGAATCTTGAAGCAGGCGCCCACGGGAGTGCGGAACATCCCCTTGCCACGTTCCCTCAATACACCAAAAGAGACAAGATCGAATCCACCGATGCTGAAAAGGAAATCACTGAGGAAGAGGAAGCTCCTCGAAAGGTCCCACGGGATCGAAAATGGTCAAAAAAGACTCTGACCCCGTGCTGGGCGACTCCAGCATGAATATCCCCACAATAAAGACAATAACCATGACCTCAGAATACCTTTCCGCATCGTGCTCCTTGCTGGTCTCTCCACATAATGTGGTCTCTCAACCATGTCAAATATACCGGCATTCGGGCTGACTTGTCTCTCTCTCTTTCTCCTTCTATATACAGAGGTGTGTGCATGCATATAACGTTTGTAAGGCCATCATTTGCTCCGAGTTTGCATTGTGATTTGGTCCTCCCGTTTCCTGCCAAGTCTCAATATGTCCCCAATTAAGAGAATGAGAAGCATAATTTTTGAACACCTGATGCTAATTTTTAGAAAACTAAACTACACACTCTTCGTCATAAATTTTTCCCCATAAGGAAAGCCAGTACGTTGTGATGCCTTTCTATTAAACTAATAGTATCCAATATCGCTAGCATCACATTGATACTGCTAATTAATTAAAAGCATATAAATGTACATACCATATCTTCAGAAATTTTTGGTGGTATGTAGCGTAGCCCTAATTTGTTTTCGAACTATTTTCTTTAAAAGTTTCATCGCGATGCTCAATACATTTATAATGAATATTTTTAAAAATGGTTCAAACATAAAGGATATGAGCGTAACAGCAAATTGAAATAAATGCACATTTCTGTACAGATTTATACTAATGAACACATTTTGATGTATTGAAATTTTATTAGTCTTTGATGATTGTAAAATTTGGAGCGAGATCCGTTTAGAATATATAATAGAGTTCTATCGGATTGTACTAGTCTATACACTAAATTTTCGTTTACAGGTTTTTTCCCATACTGTGGCATCAAACCGAATATACACGATGACAATTATTATTATAAAAAGTTATTACTGAGGATTGAAAGGCTGTCTGAAGCTGTATATTGTATTTAATTAAATCTTCTATATTCAATATTTCGTGCATAATTATAATGTATATATATATATATATATATATATATATATGTATGTATGTATGTATGTATGACTGTGCGTTTTGTTATGTATATGTGTGCATGATTTAAAGCTTGTTGGATATTAAACTTAAGAAGGCCCCTTTTCTGCTGTTTAATAAAGTTGAGGATTTGGGGATAATCGCTCACAAAGGCAAGTAATCAAATCATCGATCTGATATTTTGGTAAATTATATCATCATTAAGGTGAGATGTATTTTTAATTGTGAACCAGATTTTTTAGGGAGGTTTGCGATGATTCTTAATTCTTTGAATTGATGTCTGAGCACGATAAAGATGATGTGATTTATCCTTAAACCAACAAGGTGGGCATAACGGTCCTTTCATTAAAAACGGGCAGAGCCATAACAAGAGAAACTAAAACAACATTGACAGTATAACATGCAGTTGAACTGTGTTCCTTACCCCTTTGTCTCATCGTTTTCAAGAATATAATTGTTCTATCTCAATATACAAAAAATATTACCTGATGAACTTCGTTCAAAGATTTTCCGGATCCCTATGTTCGTACCAACTACACGACTGATCAACCCCTGTTCCAAAAATATTGGCAAATCATCTTCGCGTTGCTGTTAGGCGTTTTTATAATCTTGGTAGTAGCACTATTTCTTTGGGTCAGGATCTACTTCAAAGAAGGTGAGCAAGAAAAACGCCGGAAGGAAATCGAGGCGAGCATTCCGCACCTTATCGATGTCGATCCTTACAGCGCACTTAATAAAGATTGCAGCATCAGTGATGATGCTGAGAACCATCAGAACGTCAGCACGAGCAAGCAACTGTGAAACGGTGAGATCCTCCTCACAGTCAAAAGAAAAAAAGATACATAAATTGCTTTAGAAATGTTATTTAGGTCTCGATGATTATACATTTTCGCCTATTTTATGCGTGTGTATGTTTGTGATTTTTTAAACCTTTTCCCTTTTTTACTGAAAATACACACAAAAAAAGGCAAAATGAAGCGGATAAATGTGTTCGGTCTATAATGGACCTACATATTACAGAATTATAAATATTCCTGCTTATTGTAGAAATATCTTGTCTAAGAAGTCCAAGAACACACGTTATCACAGAGTCCTATGGGTTCCATATTTACTCATGCACGATGGATAAGCGAATAATCACATATCAATTGCTTTAACTTCGTTTATATAACCTTCTACGGAATTTATCCCACACACCGTTTGGGTTGGTGGTGATACTTTTTCCCTTTCATTTCCATATTTTTGGTTTAGTTTAATACAGAACTATGATAAGTTGCTGTTTTTTTTTTGAATGCGTAGAATATTTGGGGGATTAAAAAAATATATCAAACTATTTTTGTGTTTGTGACTTTACTCTTTCTGCTGCTTCATCCGGTTCGATAGTGTGGATTTAAGCGCCTATAGAAATGTGTATAACCTTTTCATCGATAATATAAGGTCTCAAATATTAAATTATATCGGATTACTGAGATATTTCTCCTCTTTCACTTCTCTCATGAGACTCCTCTTTCTCGCAAACAAAAAAATTATCATTGTAATTAATATATTAAATCTGAATTGCTTATTTTCGACCTTTATTCATGGTGTAAAGAGGGTGAGGAGGTAATATTATGTAAAACGCATTCTGTGCTGTCTTCCTATTCATATGCTTAAAAAAAAAAAAAAAAGAACTAACAATACTAAGGTCAAGATTCTGAATCATTTCATTTACTGAATCAATATATCCTTGTCCTTTGTGCGTGATTCAGGGTGTGATTGCTTGCTTTCTTCCGTTTTGCCTTCTCCCTTTCCGTGGTTGCCCCCCTCTGAAAAAAAAAAACCCACTTCATGGGAGCGCTACCGAGTCGAGAGTCCAACGAGGACCCCGCGTCCTTCTTCCCCTGCGATTGTGGACGACACGTCGCGGTGGGGGTCCCTCTCACCCCGCATTTCTTTCCTTCCCCAGACAGCCTCGCGTTTCGGCAACTTTTTCACGCCCGCAATCACCAATCCGCCGTCTACGGCTTCCACCTCCACGCTGTGGACGGCTACCTCCCCCCCCCGGTCGCGGAAAGCTACCGAAAAGCACAAGAAGAGGACTGGGGGGACGATGTCGCCGAGATCGACCCCAGCCTCCATTACTACGACAACCCAACTGAAGAGGAAAAAGGCGGGGGAAAGAAACCCTCCAAGTCGCGCGCGATTGAAGACCCTGAAACGCTCTACGACTTTCTCGTCCGCCTTCCGATCGCGGAGGGAGGAGGGTTGGTCGATACCAACGTGGAGCTCCTCGCGGCGCTCACGCGGGAGTGGGAATGGGAGGCGGCTGGCGGAGTCTTCCAGACCGCCATCCCCCCTCCGCGGTTTCTCTCCCCGCTACCTAAAGCCATCCTCGTAGAGCTCCCACGCACCACGAATGGCCCTGACGACGAAAATGAAAAGAATAACAAAAACGATCAAGAAAAAGAACAAGAGGTGTCCGTGGAGGTGGCGCGACGGCGTTATTGCTTCGAATCCTCCACAGCCTACCGCGACGGCCGCGTTCACCTCGTCGAGGAGGATGGCATGCTTTTCTACTTTGCTTATAAAAAGCGAGGCGGAGGAGAACGAGAAGCCGAAGAAGGGGACTTTCTCATCCCGATCACACCCGTGCGCGTGGTGGGTGTGCACGGGCTTCTCCCCTCGCGATCGCGCGGCTCCCCGTGGCTGCGTGGAAATGACACCACCCCTCTTGAGGATGCCGTGCTGGAGCAGCTGCCGTTTCCGCCCCCGGTGCGTCGTCTTTGCCGTTTTATCGAAGGAACAGTCGGGGAGCGGGTACTCAACCGCGTCGCCCTCGCGGAGCTGAAAACGTATCGGGAGGTTTGCCATCGCGCGGGGCTTCCGAACTCCCTCGTGCGGCCGATCTGGGCGCTTTTTTTGATGACGAACATCCCGAGCCTGCAGTTGGTGCGGGAGATGTACTACCGCGCCCGCGCCGCCGTCGCGGAGGTCGAACACGGCGATCAACGCCTTCGACAGCATATCATGTATTTGGATCGGGAGAACGACTTCGCGAAATTTCTGCGCACGAATTGGGAGGGCGGGAGTGGCGAACTGAGCCCTGAAAATCTTGATTCCACAGCAACCCCATCGAGGTGGATTCCAGACGTCAACGTCGATCCCGCTCAACCAAATAAAAAGGAGGAGGACGAAGGCGATGATTTAACCCGCCACCTACCACCGCCTAATCCCCAACGACACGCTGGTGACGAAGAATCTAAAGAAATCAATCCAGAAGGGGTAAAGGAGGAAAAACAGGGGCCAAAAGACCCCGTCATTCCCTTCTTTCAGACGAGTTTTAAGCAGGATTTCTCCTCTCGTCTAGAACCTTTCGCGCCGTACGCCTTGGAATCCCTCTACAAGCCCGGGGCGGCAGAAAATCTCGTATTGCCGCCGCCGGGTTCGGGAAAACTTCCGAGTTACGTCCTACAAGATGAACTGGAAAAGTGTGAGGAGGCCTCCCACAAGGGAAAAAAGCGTATCTCACACAACAAACGCGAGAATGACCCCTCGATGAGCGAAAGTGAAGAAACAAAACCATATTGGGTTGCACTGTATAAGGGGGGCATGATGGAGACGATCCGAGGGCGCTCTTTATTGTTTCGAATTCGTCAAGACGCGCTTGAGGCGTTGTTGTACTACTTCTCGTTGGCCATTGCGCCCAATTTTATCGCGGAGTACCTGGAGCCCACGGATGCAACCAGCCTCACCTACTGTGGTCCCATCCGGCTCTCCGGCGCGGTTGGGGAAAGTCCTGGTGACTTTGATACACTCGAGCGTTCCGATCTCCATCCAGACGTCCTCACGGAGCACATCGCGCGCGGGTTAATGCCGATTTTCAGCGCCTCCGATCCAAGCCCGCACGCGAGGGGCCCCAGCGCCGAGCATCGCCTGAAACGGATGGTTTTACAGCCCCCTCCCGATCCCGCCAGTCTGCTAGCGCTGCAGCAACAATACGAACGTGAGCACGAGCACCACGTCAAAAGCTACGCCCCGGGCGACTTCCGGGATGGGGATTTGATGGTGTACAACTGCGATACATTCACCTGGGAGCATTACGAGCACGTACGCCTCAGGATGCAATTTGAACGCCTGGGAATCACCTCCTACCCAACGGGTGAAGACCACTGCGGCAACCCCGCCACGAGCGTTCAATGCGCACAAAAGGCTCCCTGCGCTCGCGCGGAGAAAGCGCTGGGGGATCCAGGAATGGAAGCGCGTGTGTTGTGCGTGGGCCTCGACATCCTGCTGCTGAGCTGGTCTAAATGGGTGAAAGACAACCGCTTTTTCGAGGACCGCAACGATCCTGGTTGGTTACGGACGACGGAGACGCGCACCGGTCTCGTGCAGGTGGGTCGATATTTCATTTGGAGCTGTCGTCTGAACCGCGAGCGGTTTTTGTACGGCGTCATCCCGAAGTTCATAAAAGATCGCGTGAGGCGCATGCGGCATGCGAATCGAAACAAAGAAACGACCGAGGCGAGGTCGATCATGGACCACCAATGGGCGAGCAGCCGTAAAGCGCAGGACCAGCGGCCACAGGACGGACTAACGAAATTGGTGGAAGAATCGCATCGCCACTGTGATCGATTGGCACCTCCCAAAGGTAAAAAAGAGAAGCTGTCTTCCGAAATCACCGTGCCGGGTATCCCCTCAAGGGTAAAGGGCGCCAAAAAAGGGAACGCCAAATCGGCTGCGGATTCCATTCCATGTGGAGCCGAGGACGATGCAATGTGCACCGTGGTACCAATGATAAAATTGGAAAGACAGGAAAAACTCGTCCCCGACTGCGTAGCCGTAGAGAACATCCCATATTACTCTTTCGGATCCGAAACCGCGGTAGCCATGGCAGATTCTTACCCACACTACAACTCGAATCGACGTCCTCACGATCATTTCGCCTCGTCGGTAAGCATGAGCTCCTGGGGCACCTACCCACATCATGAAATGAACGATTTGAGCAGAATCTATAGTATAAGTCCGCGTCACCTAACAAGTCTGTTAGACCAATTCGCCTCCCCCCCTTTCCATGCGTGTGGCTTTCCGATCTCGATGACCGAAACCCCCCTCGATTACCACACCTCTCCCTCGTGGTCTTCATTGACAAGATCGGATTCCTCCGCGAGCGTCGTCCAAGCGAAAGAAGGGGCGCGCTTCGGTCTCTACGACGACGCCGGGAACACCACCATCCAGGTGAACAAACGCACGGAAAACCGCTACTTCCCACTCGACCCTTGCCCACCGTTATCGCGTCCGGGGTCGAGCTGCACAGTGCCAGGGTCCTCTCCCTTCCCTCCTCCCCTTCCGTCCGGCGCCCCACGGGGTCGTCGGTGTTACGAGCGGCATTGCTACTACCACAAGCACATGCGCGGCCACATCTCCCCGGTCGCCCTCGCCGATGCGGTGGCGGTGAGTGGGATTAACGTGCAAGTCCGCATCCACTGCGGCCCGGACAGCTCGCAATTGAACTCGTTGGCCTCGAGCCCGGTCGCGGAGCTGCCGGAGTGGCTAATGCCGGGGAAGGAATGAAGTGCGCTCCCAATTTGAGTCCCCTCTGAGGACGGCTAAAAGGAGTGTTCGAGAAACCCCCCCCACACACACCCACAGAGGGGGCGTGTCCTGCGTGTGACATCCCGCACGTGAGCAAGGCACCCCTCACTGGTTTTATGGGAAGGAAAACGGAGGAGGGGAGGAGTCGCATTGAAAGTGAGCCCAGTGGAGTGTCTTGGAACCAGCTATCCCGCACGACGGGGGTCTGTGGTCCACACACCGCCTGGGCGCTTTCGAACCGCGGCATTCTAACACGTGCGGAGCTCCTTCCGCAAAGGATGGGTGGTAGCCATAGGGAGATGCCTATCAATAAGCAGACCAGAACCGCGGCGTTCGGCGCCCGCAAATACCCCTGTTGATCGATCTGTATTAGTACTATATGGGGGTGGCTGTGAGGACGATTGGCGGTCAGTCTGGGGGAGGTGGGGCGAGGGTTAAGTTCCAGTACGGGCTCCGAGAGGGAGCCTGGAATTTACAAACTCTCCGGGACGCTTATAAGAGCATAGTATACGGAAGGAGTTAGGATGCCTTAATGGTTATTTTTGCTTTAATTTTATATACTTACTTTTTAAGTAGATAGGAGTTATTTTCTCTTATGGTTTATTTTCTTATATCTTTTATGAAAATTCTGAGGTCATACTACTCTAATTGTCGTAGAAGTGCCTCAAACTTACAAAACCAAAATAATTTATTATTACGACTCCATCAAATTTGGGAGCAGCTTTATCGCAAGTTGTAATTGTAATTGCTTTTCACTAAAGTTGATGCCATAATACTGAAATCTTGCTGCAATTTTTGTACTCATAATAACGACCTAAGACTGGTAGTAATTGAATCCCTGTTTGCTCAACATGAATGCCCAGCATCCCCTTCTTAGAATTACACAGTATTAGCAACTAAAGATTTTTTTTCAAAAGACAGCCTTTATCTACTTTATTACGTAAAAAAGATGGCGGACAAGCGCAAGTCGGACAGCCAAACAATCCATCAAAAGACGACCCATACGGAACTGGTTCCGAAAGCGGAGAACTCCAGGTTGAAGCGCGCAGAAAAGCTAAGCAATGGCAGTGTTGAGCGTTTTACACGTGTGGATCCGACTACAAATGCTCGACAGATGTTTCAGCACGATCCTCAAACGAATTCTGAAATGTACTTTTACTCCTATGACTCCAGAGATGACCCTTCATTCAAAGATAAATACAATGAGAAAGACGGAAAAGGGTGTGTTGTTCAACGCCGAGCAGCTTTCTACACCTCATCAACACCCCAAAATCAACACTACCGGTCCAACCATGGCACGAGGGTGCAGGAAATATCTCACGAGGATGGTGCTGCTCTCGATGACGGCAACAAGAGTAACGCAAAACGTGCCGCCGCGCAGCCCATTGTAGAGGAGCCAGACGACGACCACAGTTCCCGCCACCAGGTCTCCAACAGAAATGATAATTCGCTTACGCTTCCGACGGGCAGGAATGATCCATTTGAGAGCATGCAACGGCGTATGGAAACCCACATGGCGCAGATGGAATCCGCATTCGGAGACTTTGGGATGTTAGGTCGGGGCCGCAGTTTCTTTGATGACGCTTTTTTCCACGGATTTACGATGAATGACGATTGGCCGTTCGATGGGGGCTTTTTTGGCAGCAGAAACCGTGCAGGGCTGGGACGACAGTCGGGGTTGTAAGGACTGTCGTTCCATGGGATCTTCATGGCTTGCATCCATGCCGAAAAAGCATAATGTTTTCTATTTATCAAGTACAAATATTATTAACTCTATTATTCGCCTGTAAGAAGCTGAAGATTATTTCATGTTCGTTAATATTTACTATTGTGCACTATTTCTCTTCTTACGGAGCATGCTAAATATTGATATTATTGATCGTAAAAATGCTGCAGTTTAATATTTCATCTTAAATGCATATTATATATATATTTATATTATTTATTTTTCTCATTTAATTTATCTATTGAATCTCACAATAACCTATAGGACCTATGCTGAATGTAAAATCATATCGTAGCCCTTTGACTATGTTGTGTGTCTCCATCCTTACTCTCCGCTGACAAGAAATCTTACCTTTTCATCTACTTCTTTTTTTCCTAGTTGACTGGTGGTGGTGCACCCCTTCCTATCTTCTAGAAAAGCAGAATTCAGTTTCTACCAAAAAAAATTGCAGTGCCATTTTGGCTCCCTCCCCATCCTCCTAAGATGTTTTCCTCTGTTGTTGACAACGCGAACAGACGCAGAGAAAACGATACCGTTCGGACAACTCTCGCGACCGCTCTTCGACAGAGTCCCCCAGCTGTTCAAGATCTAAATACGATAAAGTCAGTTCCTCTCCCATAGCAATATTCCGTAGTGCCTTGAGAGCCATACAACCACGAAGTAGTGGGTGTAGTTTCTCTACAATGCCCTCCTCGGAAGGATCTGCACTCGATTGGATCTCTCTCGCCTTCTCGTTCCCCATCATATACGTTAAAATGCCTTCCCTTTCTGTCGAATCTTCCGCACAGATAATCGAGAGGCTAGGGTTGCAGCTATGGTTCACCATGCAGAGGGTTTCCTGGAGCGACCACCCCACCGTTTCCTCCGACGTGAAGGGGAATCCGAGGCTGTTGCACTGAACTCGGAGGAGCACGTCGCGTAGGTGGCCCGCCTCCACCGCGTAGCGTGAGGACGAAGACGGCGTAGAAGAAGTGGTGCTGGCAAGCGTGCTCCCTTCCGCGCCCTTCTCCGCGGCATCGCTTCTCACAGCAGCCGCGTGAGATGAAGCAGACGAGAACGTTCGCACGATTTTATGCGCAAAGCTATTGCAAAACTGCGCGGTCGAGGCCGACTGCGTTTCTGTGTTCGGATCGAGCACGGCGATAGACGTCGCGAGCGCGGTATCGCCGACCTGCCCGACGCGTGCGCCATAAGAAAGGCAAAACCGCAGCAAATCGGTATCCTGCCCAGGGGCCCGAACCGCCGCGGGGAGTTCGTTATACCACGCACAGCTCAGGGGATGGGCCGCCATGGACACCCTAACCCACCTTCTCTTGGCGTCGTATAACTCACCAGCGGGTTTCGAGAGGGATCGAATCCAATCCTCCTTGGGTTTGGGAGTGGCTTCGTTGGCAGGCAACATCGCCCAGCATTCCGGGCAGAGAATGAACTGATCGCATGTCGGGCAGACAAACCACCCCCCCCCCTGTGCGTCCTCGCTGGGGGGTTTGGCGGCGTAGCAGCACGCGCACCGCGAGCCCGCGAACGCGGAGTACAACACCGAAATATCAGGGAGCACGATCGCCAGGATTGAGTGCGCTGGTATGGGCGCCGTCGCTACGAGACCGCGGCCCCTGTCTTTGCCCAGCGACCGAACCTCTAACATGAGGTCAATTGTCTAAAATAGTTTTCGATTGTACTGCGTATTTTGTTCACTTGATTTTTTTATTATGAAGGGAAAGAGGGAAGAATGAATTTTCAATCTGGCGAGAAGACATTCAATAGGGTTGGCACGCAATTAAAGTGCAATGCTCCCTTTTTTTTGAATAAAAACGCCTATCGGAAGAGACACACATTCGCGTTTCCTACGAGTTCACACTAGTAAACAAGCACTTAATTATATATTCTATATAGTTTTAGTGGATAAACTACTTTCTTGTCGATGTTGCCTCTCGCAAATCCCCGTTCACGATGTAGCTCGCTTTGCTGCTGATCCTTCTTAGTGTGTTTAGGATGTTATGGCTAAGAAATTAGCCGTGCGACAACAACAGCAAAAAAAAAAAAGAGAACCCGTCTGAGGCACATGGACTAATATTTTCTCAACAAGGGTCAGTTTCTATGTAATATATGTGTAATAGTAAAAATTGAGACGATAGAGCAATGCGCCCCTCCCATAAGTAACTACTAACGACACGGTCTACTTTCAAACACATCCACCTTCAGAAAGGTGCAACAACCGAAAAAAAACATAACAGTCAACGTGGAAAAAAACTTGGTCTATAGTAAATATATCAGTGGGGAAGCCTCCCTTCACCCCCAGAAAGAAAGAAAAAAGAGCATGATGAAACAAGAAAAACACAACCAGCAAAATTTTGATAAAGCATACGGTAATAACAACAGCAACCCCACCAACCGACGGGCTCACTCATGATGCGGGTGTGCTGAGGTGAAATCTTCCAAGTTGCTTGTCTTCTTGGGAGTCTGCCCATCGATCCCTCCCCTCGCAGATGAAACGGGTTCGCCGCGTCGGGGGTTACGGATCCCGATTCTCCGGCTTCGCGTACGGCATCCCGAGCACGTCAAAGACGTCCTGCTCACACGTCACGGGCACCCGCTTATCCTCGAGCTCGTCCTTGGGGACGCCGAGCTCCTCGCCGGCGTTCTTTCCCCGCATGCCGAGCTTCTCGTAGAGCGCCTTGGCCTCCTCCGGGGTGCCGAGTTTGAAGAGCCCGTACTCGTTCAACAGGTAGCCCTTGCTGATGGCGGCCTGTCGCATGATGACGTTGAAGTTTTTACTCCCGGTAAAGGTCAGGAGCGCCGTCGGGACGCTTTTGGTTTCGATCAGCCGGATGTCCACCCGACGCGCCTTGTACATCTTCTGGCTCTCCTGCCCGGCCTTATCCCGGACCACACGAGGGGGTAAACGGCCCATCCCCATGTATTTCAACGGCCCCTGCGCCATCGTCGCCTCGAGGTATTTCTTCTCCGTGAGGTAATCCACAAAGGTCGAGAGGACGCCGGTGGCGGCGACGGGCTCGCTTAGCGGGGGCGCCTCGCGCGTGCGCGAGAGAATCGCATCCACGTCCCCGCTAAACGGATGCCGCCGGCGGTAACTTCCACAGATCTGCACCTCATACCCGCTCCCGAGCAGCTCCGCGCACTTCTCCGCGAGGAAGTTCTCATGCTGCACGCTCTCCTGCATCGGGATTTTCTCGTTAATGTCGTAGAAGTATTTGATCCCGACGCGTTGTTGGTCCGTCAGGGAGGGGATGCTATCCGCCTTGGCGAGGAGCTCATCCACGGTGAAGATGCCCTCCCGGTCGAACAGCGCCGCCGCCGCGCGGGGGCCGAATCCGTGGACCTGCGTAAGCTCCTGAATCGCCTTGAGCTTCGGCTTCGTTTTGCTTTCCAACTCCTCGAGCTTCCCTGTCGCCATGATCTCCTCAGCCTTTTTCAGCAGCTTCGCGCCGAAGCCCGTGAAGGCCTTCAGATCCGCAGGGGAGTTTAGCGGCTTGTCGAGATTCGTCTTGAGGCTCTCAATGGCGCGGCTGTAGCTGGCAACCTTGTACTTCTCCCCTAGCGCATTATTCAAGTCGGCCATCTCACGGAAAATACGAATGATATTCTCGCGGTGGTCGCGAAGGAGGGCAATTCGGCGGAACATTGAGTGGGGCTCGTATATTTATTTGGCTACGTTACTCTCGCAAAATATGATTAAGTGTTGGAGATCGGGAAAAAAGGAGTAATGGCTGTCGCTTAAAAGAGCGTACAGGAAAAAAAAAACAAGGGGGAAGAGATTAGTAATTTGGCTCTGCGCACATCGAGACACGCAAAGCAAAAGAAGCATCAACAAAGCAAATCAAGAAACGTCCCTCCCCCCCTCTGTTAAAAAAGGGGTAAAAGCTTAAAGCGCATACCGAATACCCCCATTCTGATAATGCTAGGCCACTCGATGGGGGCGGCGATGGGATAGTTTTGATCTGCAGAAAGGGAGAAATGAAACCAAAATAATAATAAAAATGTAGGGAAATGTAAATATCTATACACAACACGACTTAGTGTTAATTGTTAGACGCTCACGGTAGCTCAAATGGAAAGCAAGCACCGGTAGAGCAAAGAATGGAAAGGCAACAATGGACCCCCCACCCCCCCCTCCCCGCCGACGCTAGAGTCTTCATTTCATTTTAAACGTTCCGATTCTGTGGCTCGACGTAACTCATCCCGATCGCGTCAAAGATGTCCTTCTCCGATTGCACCCGCACCCGCAGCGCCTCCACCTCGTGAAGCACTTGCAGCAGCTCCTCCGCCTGCATCTTGCCGGCCGCGGCCTTCGCGGCGCCTCGTCGGCCGCGCTTCGTCGCCGCCGCGGGGGCGCCCCCGCCGTCGGGATCCTCGTCCGCGGTCGAGGAATGGCTGAGCGAGTAATTCAACGCCCCTTTCTTGCTCGTGTAATACTGCGCCTTGGAGAGCATCCCGATCATCTCATGCAGCCTGCCAGTCCCCGCGGCGTTGCTTGAGTTGTTTCGAAACAACCCGTACTCGTTCAGGATGAAATTCTTCTTAATGGCCTCCGCGCGCATGATGACGTTGAAGTTTTTGCTTCCCGTGAAATACAGCAGCGCGGCGGGGTAGCTGGCGGCGTCGACGAAGCGGATGTCGATCCGGCGGGCGTGGAAACGACGCGTCGGCGCCTCCTCAGCCGCGCTCGACGGCTTTTTGAGGCTGCGAAGACGACAGACGCCCATAAATTTGGTCGGCCCCTGCGCCAACGTCGCCTCGACGTAACGCTCGGCCTGCAGGGAGGCCGTGAAGCTCGCCAGCGCGTTTTGCGAGGCTTCCAACGGATCCGCGTCGCCCTGAAGTCCATCGCGTCGGGTGATGAGGACGTCGATATCGCCGGAGGTCGCCACCTTGCGGCGATAACTTCCACACACCGTTAACTCGAACTCCCGCCCCAGATATTTGCGCAGGCGAAGTTTCAGAAAGGCCTCGTGCAGGCGACATTCGTTATAAGGGATGCGCTGCTGGATATCGTTGTAGTATTTCAGGCCGAATCGCTGCGCGTCGGTGAGGTGAAATCGACCTTTATTCCGATCCTTCTTGCCACCTTCCCCCTCGCCGGATTCCGATTCGTTCATCAAGCCATGCTCTTCGGCGTAGGCCTTGAGCTCCTCCACGGTGTTGATGCCGTATTCCTTGTAAAACGATACCGCCGTGCGGGGGCCGAAGCCGTGCACCTGCGTTAACTGGCGAATCGCGCGAATCACGGGTTTCGCCTGCAGCGTGTGCAGCTCCTCGAGGTCGCCGGTGGTCAAGATCTCGACGATTTTCCGTCGTAACTTATCCCCCACCCCGGGAATCGGCCGCGACGCATCCAGCGCGAAGGTGCGCTTCGCCAGCAGCTCCTTCACCTCCGCCGCGTCGCCGATCGCGATCGCGTTCTCCGGAAGCGGCTTCAGGTGCGGTGGGAGCAACTTAAAAATGGCATCCTCCCTCTTCAGTCGCTCCATCGCGGTTTGATAGGATTGCGTCTTGTATTTCTCCCCAAGCGCGAGGTTGATCTCCGCTAATTGTTGAAAAATCAACAGCACCTGCTCGCGGTAATCTGGGAAGTGGAGGGGACTGCACACCTCCACGGGGGCGCCGCTGCTCGAGGCGGGAAAGGCCCATTTGCTACGTTTCGCTTTGGCCTCCGAATCGGGCGCGATGGCCTCCGCGGAGCGTGGACGGGCGTTCGGTTTTCCCCCATCCTGGGCGGTCGGGAGGGCTTTGGAGAACTGAATTTCCTTCAGCAACGCCCGCTGCTGTCGGCGTTGTTGGATAAAAACCCGTTTCCGCGCGATCCGAGCTTGAAGGGTCGTTTTCGGGAGCCGTGCGAGGGCGGCGACCTCCCGCTGCCGTTGCTGGAGTTGCGCGATATGCCCCGCTGGGGGGGGTTTCGAAAGGGAGGAAGGCGTCACCAAAGGCGCGGCGCGAGGTCGACTGGAGGAAACGGACGATTTCACCTCCGCCGCTACGACGGCATGCCCTATGGCGCTTTTTCCTTTCGGAGGTTTTCCCCCTCGCGGGGGTTTCGCGCGCCCGGCGAGCCCCTTAATCGAAACCGCCGCCTCCTCCCCCTCCCCCTCCCCCTCGCTAAAAGCCCGCCGTTTGGAGGTGCGATTGTTTCGACGACTCGTCGTACGACGCCCGGCGACGGCGGCTAAAAGCTGCCGCGTTTCCTCATCCACCCCTCCCCCCTCCTTTTCGTGGGAGTTCGGCGGCGAAGGAGGGGGGAAAAGGGGGTCCGTGGAAGGCGGAAACGAAGAAGGGGTCGCCCGCCCTCGAAGTCGTCCTCTGCCGCGAGGGCGGCGACGCGTCAGGGGGGGAGGGGGGGAATCCGCCTTGGAAGGGAGCGCGGAGGGCTGCGGGTTCGCTGGATTTCCCCGGAGGCCGTCGTCTTCGTCCGCCTCCCCGGAGGTGGCCGCGCGTTTGGGCGCGAAAGGGACGGTGTTAACCCCTCGCCAAGGCGTGCGGAGTGGGCTGAAGGGTCGATGAAGGGTCTCCTCCCCACGGCCGCCAACGGGTGGGGCTGCCTTGGTCCAAAACGAGGCGGCGGTCCCGCGGAGATGGGAATAATACGTCGCCTTCCGTCGAACAACGGAAGGACGACCGCCTTTACGAGAACGTGAATCCATCTCGGGCGTTTCCATGTCGTTTCGGGGTAATCCGGATAACAAATCATCCCCTTCATACCCCTCTATCGGTCCAACCTGGCGATGGACATCTATTTTAACTAACCACAAGTGCGATAACGCATCGAGCATCCTGATGTGGAGTCCAAGCGCGTGCTGGAATCCTTTCAACGTTGCGATGCATCCAACTAAAGGTGAATTACGCCATGACATTTCTTCAATCTTACTCCTCTTCAAATCTATATATATATATATATGTATATATATGTATTGATAAAGATGTATGTATGTAATCTATGATGTATTGGATTATATTATTTTAACTAAACACTCAATGCGATAAAATTAAGAACTAAAATTGGTAAACCAACCTTTCCGTTATGAAGAAAGGGAATTCACAGACTATATTCTAACTTCCCTGCACTCTTCGTTTGTCTACGTAGGGTGCGTCCCTTGACGAATTCGATATAATATTTAAGAAAAGCAGAGTCAGAGAAGTCATGAAACTAAGATATAATTGTCAAGCCTCAAGGAATATTTTCCTCTTCTTTTTCATTTCATTCTTTTAGGTACCCACGAATATGAGAGCATTAGGCAAAAACAAAAACATGAGTGTCTTCCTGATTTTTGGCGATACTATGTCTTCAAAATGAAACAACGCCAATAGAGACCGGTTGTATTGGGGCACACAAAGACACATGCACATAAAAATAACTGTTAAACCAATCCTTTTTCCCCATTTTCTTTTTTAGGAGGAATATGTACAGAAAAAAAAAATGTTAATTCAAAGGATTACCAACATGTATGTGGACGTTGTTTTAGGTATGAGGGACCCTCGCGTGGTGGTCCTTTTCTCGCGCACCATGTAGGTGCCTTCTCTTTAACCTTTATGCCCGCTCCCGCAGTCGTTGGGTGGTCCCCACCCCCCAGGATTCGTATTCCTCCAAAAGCCGCACAAAAATCGGAAGACGCGACGCCACCGTTCCGGCGCGAAGATCCGAAAACGACAGCCGCATCAAATCAAACGCGAAAGACACGTTCGGCACCGCGCATCGTCGGAACCCTTGCGGGAATCCATTCACACCTGAAACCCCTTGCGTGGGATCGTCAAACTCCTCCGCAGATGAGGCGTTGCCACGCGCGGAATCCTCGACCTCAGCGAGGCCGCCTCTGCCCCCATCGCGATCCCCCCGTTGGATTTCTTTCGGCGGCTCCCCAAGCGACGCCGATGCGATCGGGGAGCTCGTCAAGGGATCGACGGAGCCCCTCGGACGGCTTCGTTTCAACCGCACATCCGTGGTGCCTTCTTTGAAATGCGCCTCCGTCAACCCCGGTAGCTTCGGGTAGCGTTGGGAGAAGTGATTTAATACGACGAACTCGCTCGCGGTCTGCGCCCCGATATCCAACGCCTCCGGCAGGGTGGAGTGTTTTTTGCTGATCGCCTCAGCCTCAAAGCCGGGCCCGAAGGTGGCCTCGTGAAGGCAGATAAAAGGGCCTTCCACCCTCCCCTCACGGGCATCAACATCAAACGGAGCACCTAACGGTGGAAGAGAACCCGCGGGTAAGGGGTTATCGTCGACGTTTTTCGAAATATCCGCGATCCGACCTGAGGAAGGGGTGGAGCGCGCGCAGAAGGCACGGCAGCGATCCACGAGAAACGGGCAGGGTCGAGTATCCCCTGAGAAAAGCAGAACTCGCGAGGTCTCCACGCCTCGCCTTCCACCCTGCATCGAGGCCGATGGAAAGCGTAGCAACAGCGCGTGAGCGTTGGCAGGGTGGTCGACTTTGAGCACCTGCGCTTCCCACCGCCCTCTCTCTTCGTTTTCTTCCTCCACGTTTAGTGGTTGGAAATGGGAATCCATCGCCGCATTCCAACGCCTGAGCAACGCTTGTAGACGCGGCGGGCAGGTCACCCCACCCGTTGACGACGACGCTTGGAAGTCACCCCCTTGCGAGTGAGAAATTTTGATTCCTCCCGCCTTATCGTTTAGGGTTGCGGCTTTAGCCATTTCAACGCGATCTTGCGTTGTGAAAATAGGTGGATGATCGAGACCCCCCGCGGCATTCCCCAGTGCATCTCCAAACGCCGCTACGGTATTGAAACTCTCCCCATCCTCGATCGGTGGAATGATATCAAACTCACACTCCTCCTCGATCCACGTCTGGTAGGGCCAGAGATCGAACCACGCGAACTTCATAAACTCATACACCTCCCCTGGCAGCACGACGAGAAGTTTCCTCGGCTCCCTTTCCATGAAGGGATAACACGCGTGCAGGGTGCTCTGGGATTGCCGTTCCTGCTTCATCCCCTTTTGATACTCGAGGTAGTAATGTCGAAGGGAAAGAAAGGAAAGCAAACCGAGGTGATGATCGGCGTGCCCGTGGGATATGAAAACAACCTCGACATCCAGCACAAAGCGAGCAAGCTCGGCATCGTCCTCCTCGAATTCCGTCGAGTCGGAAGCGAACGCTGGAGCGGCAAGCGACCTCTCGATTCCCTCCGAATCCCCCTCGGGTGAATCCCCTACGCGATGACGACGGCGCGCAAAAAGCTGTGCGAGCTGCCCTGCACTCCCCTCTCCAAAATCTAAAATCCAAACGCCCCGTCTTGGCCGAAACGGATCCACATTCGAGGCGACAGCGGCAGACGACGCGCGTTTTGCTACCCCCTTTCCAACCCCTTCGAGCCCCCTCTCCCCCTCCTCCTCGTTCTCATTCCTATTCTCATTCCCGTGGCCGATCGCCGTCGTGGGGTTCGAGGCCTCCCCCCAGCAACAGGCGGGCAGCTCCAGCTCGAAGAAAGTCCCGCTGACGTTGCGGTATTTGCTCGGTATGGCGGAGCCGGTACCGAGAAATCCGAGAGCCCCTCCTCCTCCTCCCCCTTCCTCTCCATCCGTCAAAACCCCTTTCGAAAAGGCAGGGCCCTCCCTTCCTTCCTCACAACGAAGGCAGGCGTGAAAATCCGTGGAAAGCAGCGCGAGGGCGGAAGAGGCGTCGGGGTAGCGAATGTACGGCGCCCCCCCGCCATTGGCGGGGATCGCCTTCGCCGGAGGCACCTCAGAGGCCGAGGCGGACGATGAAAGGCCGAGAGGCCGCCCATGATGGGGAGGAACCGCGTCGAGTTTGAAGGAATACGGCCAAAACGGCCTCGAGGTGGGCTCCCACGCCGCGGAGGGGCCCGCCACCCCTGCCAAAGGGTGGGTTTCCCTCGTGGGAACGGGAAAGCTACCGGGCGCGATCGCCCGCAGATGATAACGATGCACCAACGCGGTGGGGAAGGCGGTAAAGTGTTGTTGAACGAAGGCGGTGAAAAGGTGTTTGGTGAAGAGATCCGGGCGTGATGGGGAACCCGTGTGGGGATCCGGAGATTCCTTTGAGATCTGAGGATGGCTGGGGTTGAATTCCTCGCATACGGCGCCGGAGTCGTGGTCGTTCGTTTCGCGAAGGTCCCCTTCGACGAGGTCGGCCATCGTGAAGGACATCATCGGAAGGCAGGAGCGCCTCACCGACGGGTGAACCGTTTCAAAGATCGTATTGAGATACGCGTGATAGATGTTGTTGTTCACAAGCGATGAAGGCGTAGTCAGTTTCACCGAGACCTCGGAACTCCGCGGATGATCTCCGGAACTATAAAGTTCCGCATTGAATACTTTGAAGTACGAAAGCGGTTGGACGTGCACCACGTGACGGATAACCACCGTACGCAATTGGCGCCGCTCTACGCTACCACACGTATCGTCGTTTAAAGAAGCCGACAAAGGGGCGTACGCGAAGCCTGGAAACCACTGATGTAGAACTCGGATCAACTCCCCAAAGCATCCCCGACGGACCTCGTCTTCGGACGCATCCTCATAGCGAAACCGACTCTCCGTTTGCCTATCGACCTCCCTCGATCTGGTGAATTCACCCTCCCCTCTTTCCACGTAACGACTTCCAAGCAGCCGCTCCAAGGCAACGCGAACGTCCGTAGCGTGGTTGCCATCCAACACCAACGAAACGTAAAGATGCCGACTAGCGATCGTCGGCACGGTCACCTCATGAGGCTGAACGAGACGAGGGGGATGCCCTGGCTGAGGCTCGCGCGCCCTGCTTGGACGCTGGGTTGACGAAGCAACGGCGGGATCCGCGTCGGGGTTGATTGGACTGCCCTCACCCGCGCTCAACGCCCCCACAGCCTCGGCGCCACACTCCGGCGTCCGCGCGGAGATCCCTTCCGAAGAAGCCGCCGCCAAGCCCCCTGCCCTCCGTGAAAGTCGTGAAGGTTTCCTATCAGCCACCCCGACCCCGTCATCCGCGAACACCGCGATCCCTTGTTTAAGCTGCGCGTACTTCGGGCCCGGCCGCACCCCCATCCCGCGAGCCCGCCCCACATCAAACGCGGGCATCGGGGCATTCACAATCGCATACCCCAACACCATCTCGGATAAATCGGGAAGGAATTTCGCAAAGGCCGTCTCCCCTTCCGTCGCGTCTATCGACGAGGCCGTTTCTCGCCAAGGGTCTTCGGGTTCACAAGGGGGGCGGTCGTGGGAGGGGGTTCGCGCAACCCCGCCGGATACCCGAAAGGCGATCAGAACGCTCTGGGCGCTTAGCGGAAGAACGGCCACCAGGAAAGGCCGCTCCGCATCCGCATGGAGTCCGCTCCCACTTCGCTCCTTATGGGCTGAGGAGGTAGGGGAATCCGGGATAAAAGGAGGTAAAAGAAAGATTTCATCCCTCGCGATGGATGTGGTTTGGACGATCGGCTGGGTGGATGGGGATGGGGAACAATATGCGGCACGCAGCCCCTTAGGATCCTCCTTTTCCAACCCCAAGGTGCTCTTTTGGATCGCCGTGTTCAGCCCCGATAATAGGGGGGAAAAGGTGGGAGTTAGCATGCGAAAGACCATCGGGCGGTAGGAAAAGTAGCTCAAACGAAGAGCCGCGAGGAATTGCTCGAGCCCAGCCGTGAGGGGTGTAAGGGTTGCTCTTCCGTGGGAGCGTGGCGTATGAATTCGATCCCCGCGCATAGAAGACGCGTCACCCATTGCGGGCTTCAAGCGCAACGCTGCAGCACCGCCTTTGAGCTTGGAAAGCCACTCCTGAAGTGCAAGCTGCGCGCTACTCGGGCCGAACACATTCACCTGCCGCACCCCTGCGTCGTTGATCGTGAAAAGCAGGCCTGGAAGTCCCATCACGGCGGTGCCTGCTGATGCCGCGGCGTCAGTGAGCCTCACCCACCGCCTATTAGGAGTTTCACAGCGGGCGATGCCTTTCTCCTCGGACTTCTCAGATCCGCATTGACCGTCATCAGCCTCGGCATCGTTTCGATTTTCAGAGGAATGCGGCAATAGAGGCTCCGTTCTCGCTGCTTCTTCGCGTCGGCCGCCCCATCGTGTGAAAAAGAAACCTTTAATTTTAGTTAGTTTAATGTTTGCTTCAGAGCTAAAGCGCTGGGTTCCTTCGGGGCAATTGAAGAACAAATACCCCTCACCACCACTCGCGCTCACTATGGATTTTTTACCCGAGGAATTTTTGTCAGTCGAATCCATCTTTTCTGCGGGAAAGGAACTGTGATCCTCGAAATTCAGCTCGGGACTTCCTCCAAAACGTGCCATCACAGCTTCCAGGGGGAGTTGTAGTAGGTTTTGGTAAGTAGCTGGGGCGGGAAAGCCCGAGGGGGGTAGATAAGGCAATGCGGGGCCACTCTGCAAGCCAGGGTGATCCAAGAGTCCATAATAGCAGCATCCACCAAAACTATTTGGGGTATCCGTCCCCAACAATTGAATGTATTGAGACATAAAAAAGAATCAAGAAGGTTGGCTTACTAATCTTCCTAGAGAGGGGTTCACTGAGTGTAATCAAATTGTATATATACATATATATATATATATATAGAATGTCGGATTCGAAGGTACCCCTACTGATTGTTTTTCTAAATGAAAAAACACGGTCTCGAGGAGAGCAAGATTTGACTTATGGGCATGTATGAATTTCAAAAAGAAATGCTAACCCGCAGAAAACCTAAAGGATAGCATTACACGACCAGAATCATGTTTGAATTATAGTTTCATATGTGCACGTGCTCATCGTACTTTGTACACTGTCCATCAAAAGCACAATACTAGGATTCTCAAGCATGATGATATGCTTCAGAAGCTTCTCATCATATTACTCATCAAGCCTTGTTTGAATTGCTTTGGGATTTAGAACCGTCCCCTATCGTTTTCTCAGAGGCCTTCAGTTTCCCACCAGAGGATTGAGTTAAAACTCCAACCCCGGCGGCTGGGGCCGCATCACCATCCCCGGGAGGTTTCGTTGCACCATCCTTTTCCCCATCCTTCTTTGAAATGGTTTCCGCAAGAAGACCTTCGGTGTTCGAGAGCATCCATGATGGCAACATGAGCTCCGCATTCATAATCAACCTCGGCATCAACAACAGCCTTAAACCCAACGTAAAGAGACGAAACGCCGCCTCCTGAGGTACACGCGGGACCTGACGCGTCAACATGATTAACGCTTGCGCCTGCCGATCCCAAACGGGGTAGTACGAACGCGACGCCCCGCTTCGATAAAAATCCCGTCGTGCAGTCCAAAAACTCTGCTCATCACCATGAATGAACTCAGCATCAATAATGCGTGGGCATGTATTCAAATTCCTCTTATAGCGTGCAATGTAACCTGGGGCATAGTCCACGGCTGTGGAGGTATGAACGACATTTACTCGCCCACCACGACGGGATAGGTAGTTTCTTTGGAGGACGCGTAAACGGGACGAGACTACACGTGCTATCGGCATGTCGTCTTGAAAGCCCCCTTTATAAGGCGAGGGGAAATAAGAGGAAGTGGAAAAACACTTCTATACTTTTTGGGGATAAAAGAGGGGGGGTCCGTTTCAGGAAATCACAAGTCAGGAATCAAATGGTGACATGAACGCGTCTTCTCATTAGAATAAAAGCACAACGAAAAACAAGAGAATTGACAAAAAGAACTTTGTGAAGAACCCCATTTTGAAGGGTATTAAGTGTATATGTTTGGATTTACACTTTATTTGTAACGACTAGGCTTTTGCAAGTAAACGCATGGATGACATACGGTGTCGCGTTGAGGGAAAGACTCCGACATCCCTTTCTTCTCGACGCCCAATACCACCCCGCTCCAGTGTTGTGATCCCACGGTGAGGCGCCATCATCGCTCATCACTTCACCATTAAACCACTGGAAACAATGATACTGTGAATAGTTCCGTAGCCTAGGTGTTAAAAAGGAAGAAAGGGAACTCATACATTCCGCATCCCGCTCATGTGCTGACGGATGGCGCCGTTCATAACAATTTCACCTTGATCCGGCATGCCTATAGATTCGATATCAAGCACATTAATCAGATGAACATAATCAAATGGTAGGCCAATGCTAGTATGCATCATTGAATAGCTTTCCTACTTTATTTCTACGCCTGTGGCTGAGAGCCATAACGAGTATGGTAAATAATGAAGTGAGTAGTGGAAAATACAAATAAGAGGCATGCAGGGTAAGAAAAAGGTGTAAAGAGAATTCAATTATACCATAGGGAACATAACTAGCCTATCAAATAACACCACAGTCCAGAAAAGAAATATATTTAGAAACAGAAGTACGTAATACAAATGTCATTGACAAGCATGGCTTTACTTTTTGGGGATACATTAATTTTTTGATTACTTTTGTTGTATACTTCTATAACCCAATTAAGTAAGCCAAAATATAACCAATAACATTTCAAGATTTGTAGTGTATAGAACTATAAAAGCAAAGGGGAGAGAAAGAGAGAAAAACTACCACCCAAATTATTTACCCCGATTTAATCACTATGTTTCTGAGGTGCACAAATCTAATTGAACATTTACAATATTCAAGAATACACAGGCCGAATGATAATGCTCGGATCTGTATCCCAGAATCTTCTATTTGCGCACGCGTGTTATTTTTGCACATGCCGCTCAATAGCTCCTTCATTTATACGCGTGCTTATGCACGATACTACACTATGCTTTTGGTCTTCAACTCGTCGATGATTTGCTCAAACTGAAGCAGCACGCCCATGCTGGTGGGCGTTAATAACAGTTTAGTAAGCAGCAACCCATCAATTCCGTCGTGCTCCATTCCCAACACGCACCCACAGGTCGGGCAAAAGTGCACCCGAAAATACCCCTCCTCTTCCCGACAAGGCCGCGGTTGCGGGAGACAGTGTGGAGGATCGTGGGAAGCCTCAATCGCATCGCATGGGCTGCGGCCGAGGCATTCATTCACGCCAGGTCCTGATTGATCGATCTTGGAAACGGGAAAATGAGTGCCGTCCACGTCAGGTATTCCGACCCTACCACAGCTGTCAGCGTCACTCACATCTACGAGAATCGAAAAATGGTACTCGGATGGGGTGGGGAGAACTTCACAGCGCGGTTTCATGGGACCTTTCTTTTCCTTGCCCCCACCAGCAACCGAAGAGGCTGGACTCTTCATGAGGGTCCTTGCTCCATTATCCCCTTCTTCGTTGCAAATAGCAGCTACATCGGTCGGAGAGGTGACGTTTAGTATATTTTCGATATGGTTTATTTCGGGTAGATGAAGCCATTCAATTCCATAGCAGGAGCCGCTCACGCGGCAGCAGGCATTGCATTTGCACACAAACGAGCCATAAATGCTAGAGAAGACCCCCTGCACCCGCACACCACCACAGAGGCAGCCTCCATTAAAATACTTCATCGCAGAGTCCCTCCGTAACGCGTTGAGTTCGTCGCTGATGAAGACCTTCGGAGGATCCTGCACCACTGAGGCAGTTTGAATCGAATCCTTCCCTAATGAAAATGAACTTCGTCTCATGTTGCAGGAATTCTGTGCTTGGTCGGCTGCGGCAGCGGGTGTGGTGGTCTTTGGCGGCGCATTGGAACCCCCCCTAACGTCCTGATCGAAGCAAGAGTTGGGTTGCCTTGATTCGGCATCGGACGCGCGGGGGCGTGAATCAGATCGAACGCAGTCGGCATCGGCCGGCACCGCCTCGGATTTAGCCCCAAGGGAAGAGCCCAACATAATCTGGGTAGGTTCTTTAGAGAGGGCGGCATTACATTCAAGGTTAGACGAAGTTGGGCTAGAGCTTTGTCTATTAGATTGCTGCGATTCCTTGCCTGAGATTTTAGTCGAAGGGCCATCTTGCTGTGGCTGTGCTTGGAGTTTTTCGACATCCAAACGCGTCCCAAGAGGGTCTAGAAACTCTTCACTAGCTGTTTGCATTTCAAGCTGCTCTCTATTCGATAGCTTTGAAGCGTTGCAACCTGACAGCGACTTTCCCCCGTCGCTGCCACTAGCAGAAGGGTCTTGAAAAGATTTCAAGGCCCCTATGGCGCTGTGATCAATATTCCGCATGATTAGTTCAGCCTCCGTTGCCTTTTGGGGGTCTAGGCCAGGAACCACCTCTGCAGCATCAGCCCCATTCTTGTCTTCCGCACCCCGCATACTCATCGTGAAGCGAGAGAGCAACCATGTCATTTCATGAACGACATCATTTAGCTCGCTTCTGACGTTTTTTTCTTCCTCTGGTGGGGATGGTAGCCCCTGTGTAGGGTCTATATTCTGGTCATCCTTCATCTCCTCCATGGCAACTTCATTGAGTGCTGGCAAAGGGGGGAGAATGGGTGCCCTGTACAAAGCATCCATCTTAGAGGGGGTATATTGAGGTGTCAAGAAGCGTGAAGCCAAATTGCCAGAAGGATGGTCCTTTGGGTGACTGTTTCCTCTTCCGCAGCCGGTTTGGGGTTGCGGACGGCCGTTGGGGTCTTTCGTAGGCAAAATCGAATTGTTGGGCTCCCCCATAGGGGGTAGTCGTGGCGCGGCTGAGACCTGCCTCGCCGGGCCCCTCAAGCTAAGGTCACCCTCGAGAGCTTTGTAGCCGTGCATCATCTGTTGGTGCGCGTTGTTAACGAGATATTGGTTCAATGGTGCTACCGGGGCCTGCCTCGGATTCAAAAAGTGCTCCTTCTGTCGAAGGCTGGTCACCTTTTTCTTCTCCAAGTCGTACGCCTCAATAAGAGCGCTGATAGAGAGCTGCTCGCTCAAGCCCGCCTGCAGTGGCCTTGGATGCATCTCACGCGGAAACTCGACGGGCTTATCAGTCTTTCCGGGAAGACATTGCCGCATAGCCATCCTTTCCGGTTCGCGCGGCTTTTGTCGTTGCATCATCTGGATCTCTTGGGCAGCACGCTGTCCAGGTGAGAGTTCATTGAGATTCTCAATCACACCAGCCTCTCTCCCTTCTAATTCCACACCTTGAAGAGGGGCCTCGGATGTCTCGGCGGGCAACTCTTGAGAAATGCGTCGGTACGGCCTGCCCCTACCTCTCTCAGATTCGTCCTTAGCATCGTTGTGTTGTTGCGGAAGATACGATGCAACGCCGTACACGTTCTGCGGTACCTTACAATCCAGTATATTTTTTTCCTTCTCAGCATTGGGATTCCTGCTAAGTTCATCTGTGATCTTGGGCTCCTTCCGCATGCCTCTTGGTTGTAGTTTAGCTGGTTTCTGTTGATATCGATCGTTAAGAGGCAAAGCTTCGGCTCTCTTACCGACGAGGTTGATTCCACTAACCTTATCACCCCCAAGATCGACTGGATTGTTTTCAATAATGGGAAAGCATGCGTTATTATCGATAACTTTATCTTCCTGCGGTAGTTGCTTAGTTATCTTTTCTCCAGCTACAGGATCACAATTTTTCTCGGTATCCTCTATAGACTTCAGTTTATCGATGATGCTTGGCATGTGCCGCATCACTATCGATGACATAAGCACCTGCTGCGCATCTGGGCGCTTCTTTGGATCCTTATGCATCATCCACTGAATTAACTCCCACAACTCTTCCGAAAAGTTGGCGGGAATCCGTCGGGGTTCATTGTGCAGAATTTCATTCATGAGAGCCTTCATCGTGGGGGATTCGAAGGGTAACCGGTTCGCACACATCTCATACAAGAGCACACCGAGGGCCCACACATCACTCTTATTGTTGTATGGCTTGCCAAGGCAAATTTCAGGCGAAAAGTAGCAAGGTGTGCCACACATGGTGCTCGCCATTGCTACAGTATCCTTTAGAACAGTCGAAATTCCAAAGTCGCCAAGCTTCACGACGTGGTTTCGAGTCAAGAATATGTTTTGAGATTTGATATCACGATGCAGTAAACGGCGATCGTGCATGTGTTTGAGAGCTATGGTAGCCTGAACAAAAAGACTCATGACCTGCGGCTCCGTTAAGAGACCGTTACGCTGATGCAGAGAGTTTTTGTCCTTTTCGGGATCAGAAAGTAAACGATGCTTGGCGTTGTTTTTAATGCGTGTCAGGTGCGTTCCGAGGTCGCCACCGTCAGCATACTCCATCACGATGTAAAGGTGTGGAAACTCTTCAAAGTACTCAACATAACGCACGATGTTCGGGTGGTCTAACTGCTGCAGGATTGATATCTCCTTGTGAGCATCCTTACGTTGTTTCGAATTCATCTTCGACATGTTGATGTGCTTGATGACGTAGTACTGATTACGAATCTTGTGGAATACTAAAATAGCCTGTCCATACGTGCCCTTACCAAGGTCCCGAACAGACGTGTAGAAAGACTTTCTAATGGTTAAAGGGAGATTTGGACGTGGCGGTCCTATGCCAAGAAGAAAATTAAGCTCGTCTACAGCGTCCATACCCCTTAAATCGTCGTACTTATTTGGTTACTTGACTCCTCTAAAAGATTACGTATGTAGAGCAATATAAAAATACGCCCTTAAGAAATTAGATTTGTCAGAGCTAATTTTACCCTCAAAAAGCTCCAAGACCTAGCTCACAAGTCGGTATCAGTGGCAACAAGACCAAGGGAAAATGAGAGAATTAAAAAAAATTACCCACAAAACTTCAATCCCTTTTCTACATTGGAGTAATATTTTGACTTCTGTACCGCTCAGTATTGCTTTTTAGAAAGGCAAGGCAAGAAAAATCAAAGCCTCATGCATGTACTGTGTACCCGACTACATCACCTGTTAGTGAGTCTCGCCGCACATGTAATGTTTTACCCCAAACGTTGTCTTCCTCACAAAATTCACCCTCCATCTTCTTTGAATCTTTCCTACCTTCACTTCCAGAAATAACTGCGCCGCTCTTGCCCTCCTTCGATAACAGCGCCTCCTGTACGGCGGCAGATCCAGAACACTTTTTTTCCTTTGTAGAAGCCGGCATGTTGTCTTGAACTGCCCACATAACGCTAGAGAAGGGTGCTATAGGTGGAGAGCTTACCTTATTAGTCGCACCTTCCTTCAAGTCGTCAACAAGGGAGTGCACGAGGATTTTTTGCATCACCACCGGGCATCCCACATGTAGCTCCCGCGTAGATGTTAAGGAGGGACTATTGGGTGTCGTTGGACTCGGTGCAAGGCTAAGGAAGGTAGTAAGAGATACCCTATTTTTCCACCATATCTTAAAAAGATCCTTAAAAGACTCCTCCTCGTCAAGGTAGTACGGACGCTGCTGCTTCAGAACAAAGTAAAGCGTCCACAAGAAAGGCGACCAAAGCAGCAGTTCTCGTAATCCTCGCGGCAGTCGATCGAGAACACTCCCCAGATTCTGATACCGCTGCTGGTTTAAATCCGCGCTCCTCATCCGCTGATAGGCTCCAGAAGCTTTATCATAAGTATTTTCTTCATTGAAAAGGCGTCTGCTAAAGGATAAGTAACGCTTTTGGCCTGCACGAGTCCTGATAACAGGATGTCGGCTGATGCGTCGTAATGGTAATCCCCACCGAGGTAAACTATGTAGCATCACTTTTGAGTAAAGAAAGTTGCTTTTATTTCTTAGATGAATAGAATTGTTGTCAGTACGTAAAAAATTCTCAAAACAGTAAAGGAATCCGTGACCATGACCCTGAATCTAAAAGAATCAAGGAGTATCATTATCAACAATGATGGTCGAATAAAAATCCGAGGGGAATAATTACTTTCTTAATGTCCTTTAGGCATAAAAACACGCTGTATGCAAAATTTAAACAGTAAGTAAGTAAAAGCAAACAGTAAAAAAAATGACCAGAATCAACGACGCTTCATACTCCGAAACATCTCCAGCCTTTGCGTGCGGCCACGCTTCATTTCCTGGCGCTTAGTTTCCTCCATCATTAAAAGGTGTCGTGCGGTCGCCATATCCTCAGCCCGATCCTGTGGGCTGTAGTACTGCTGTTGTCGAGCATTTCGATTTTCACCTTTGCTACTTTTATGAATGAGCCCATAGGCAGTGGCGGCGAGAAACTCCCGGCTCTTGCCCTGCACCCTCCTCTGTTCAATATAATTCAAGTTAACAGATTGCCGAATACGCTCGTTCTCCCTTTGGAGGTGATATCGTTGGCGACTGAGTTGCAGAGCCTCTTTGGAGTGCCGCTGAGCACGTTTCGCACTGCGTGGGGCCCAACTGACAGAGGAGCCACCCCTAACCTGATGTAAAAGTAGCCTTTGTGCAGTAAACCTAAACATTATTTCCTTCCTTCCATAGTTTTCTCTTTCAATAAAAACAGAGTTACAACCAGTATAGCAACGTAAAAAAAGATAGCGAAATTGATTTTAAGTATTTAATATTTAAGCATAGAAGAGAAAGCAAAGATCCTTGCAAGCAATGACTATTATCAAAAAAAAAAGAACATCAATAGGAACCAATTTTGTTGGTAAAATGTTACATAAGCCTCCACACTACACGGAGAAGTCTATTAAAGTGTACATATATACCGCACCAAGCGTTTGTTACCTTTTGTGTGAATATTGGTACAAGTATAGGACTACAGCCTATTCTTCCCGGAGCTCCATCACGTAAGGCACATATACACTAATTGGCGGCGGAAAATAATGAGTATCAAAAGTAGCCGAATCACTTGCGTTCCCTTTCCTACGATTTGCGCCCTCTACTTGACTAAGCTATAATTTCACCTACTCGATTTCATCATTCTCATCTTCTTCCTCCTCATCGTTAGCTGCCTTGGCGACTACCTGCACGAGTTCCTGCAACACTCCCTGTTGTTGCTTATCCCTAGCTTCCCATATCCTCACCAAGGCCTCATCTTCGTCGATGCCGATCCTCGCCTGCACACGGTTGATTTCCTCATAATCGACTTCGCCGTCGTCATTCAAAGGTTCCTCATCGTCCTGCCGCATGGCGTCCTCATCGTCATCCTCAGGCATCTCCTCCGTTTCGGGAATCGGAAGAGATAACTCGTGCAGCGTTGCGATCCAGGCATCTCGCGCCGCGCGGTAGTCTGCAGCTGCTCGGATGAAACGGAGAAGTGCATAGAGTACGATACCGCCGCGCTCCTTAGTTTGAGACTCGACCGTCTCCTCAATTTCCTTTCTACGCGCCTTTGCAGTCTCATACCTCGCGACCTCATCCCTCAGAAGTTCATCCTCCCCGAGAGTATCATCGTCGAAGTAATCCGCGGGGTCCGCATCGCAAATATACTCCGCATCACACAGGCAGCTGCGCATGATCCGCCGCACACGACGAAGCTGCCGCGTTTTGGGTTGTGGGATCGGGAAGACATCGACAGCCCCGTCCGCTTCTTCTTCGTCCTCCCCTTTGAGTTTTGACGAGATCCTCTCCAGTTTTAGCGGCTGATTCATATCATAGGCCGCAACGGGGTTAAAGGCGCGCAGCAGCTGCACGACGACCGCGGGCTTTATCAGCGCTGCAACCTTCGCCGGGGTATCGGTCGCCCTTGGGGTAGAATTGAACAAAAGGTAGCAAAGGCAACGGAAGACACGATAAAGCACGTGGATGACGGTAATTCGTTTGTGCACGCGCTGCACCCGAAGGCGCGCGGTTAGCTCCGTGGCGATTGCGGACATCCGACCATTCCCAATGATACCCTGCGCGGATGGGAGTGGTTTCGTATCACGGAGCGCCTCCTCCTCACTTTGCTGTTCAATCTCCTTAAGAGCCTCCAGCTCCGCCTGCGCGACGCGGACGCGCTCGGCGGAATCCAACAGGGTAGTCTTGAGCTGGCCGATGTGTGTCTTCTGAAGGTATAGCATAAACCGTTGGGCGATGTAGAAGTCATTTCGGGCCTCGTCTAGACGTTCCTTTCGTCGCTCAAACTGCGGGCGTGTGATGCGCTCTTCTGGGTTTTCCCCATCCGCGGCATCACCCGTGGCACCTCCATCGCGGTCGGCGCCTTCGGGCTCCTCATGGTGGCTGTCCTCTTGCTCCAGAAGCTCCTCAGCCTCGGCAGTTGCCTCCTCATAGATTTCCATCAGCGCCTTTTCCTGTTCCTTCTTCTTTTGCAGGCGTTCCTTGAAGTGTAAAATACCTCGTCGAATCGTCTCCGCTGCTGCTTTCTCCTTCTGGATACGTATTTTCGCACATTCCTCGCGGATCTCGATCGCCTTTCGCAAATGATTATCCTCGGCAGTACGATGCTCCTGCACATTCAAGTAGTGGATCAGATAAAGTGCAAGATACTCCTGTGGATTACTGGGCTGTGCCACCACAGTATCGGCAATGGCTTTAGCAAGGATGGGGCCAACATGACACTTGAGATATGCACTTTCCATGACTTCCTCTTTTCCTTTATATATAAACAAGAACTTTAGTGATAAAGATCAATTATAAAATTTTCGACACAGATAACCCTACAATACATATAGATTTCTTGGTTAAAAGTGAACCACAATAAAAAATGCATTTACAATATAACAAGATTGAAATAAAAAATCAATGCATTTAAATATACACAAATCATATGAATCCACAGTTTTCATTTCCTTGAAAATTATTAGTATCGTTATTATTTTCACACCAAGTATCATTGATGTTTTCTGCTTTTCAAAAAAAAAAAGAGGGACCTTCGAGTAGGTGCGTATTTAGGACGATCCTTGAATAAATGCACATTTAACAAACGAATCCCTGATACTTAATAGGTGCTTTTTCTCCCACAGCTGGGCACAGAATAATGATATTACATCTGAAACCGGAAAACTTAAGTCTGAGGAGAATTAAGAAGCACTTCCGTAGTTGAACAAAGACCAGAAAAAAAGAGGAAATATGCTGAAACACATGAACCATACTTCCTATCAAGAAGGGGAGAGTTATGCATATAATGAAGATAGGGCAGAAACCCTGTCATTGTTAATATTTTCCCACTCATCATTCTTTTGTCGAGTGATGTTTGATCTAAGAAGCCTCACCCTATTCACAAGCCACCTATCATAGCTTTGATTGGGCATGCTCTTCGTCCTGTAGCTTCTGTTTAGCCTTTTGAATCCGCTCTGCTTCTCTCCTCAATTGATTGTTACCTTCAGCTTGGTCGTCCCTGTCGCCACGAATGAATAATAAAGGTAGCATACCAATCACCAAGCCAGTAATTATCCCGATTGTGTTTCCAATGTTTGTTGAGCGCTCGAAACTGCGGCTATTACATTGCGATTTGGTAAGTATCGGTGGTGTGATCCGGGTCCAACGCTCCGCTAGACCGTGAACCTGAATGCCCGCAACGCCGCTGATGATCCCCCCTACTCCTGCCGCAGCCAAGCTGGTCAAGCCTAGCGTCTCTGATAAAGAATGATCGACCGCATCACTCGCGATAATTAGGGTCGAGTTGTCCAATATGCCGAAAGCCATGAAAGGCAGAGATGAATTAAACAGGAGACGCAAGTAGAGCGGCCACGGGATATAACCAGAGTCGTTTTGTGGCACATTTTTTTGGACGCTAGCAGCGGGGATATCAACGCCTTTGGTAGAAACATCAAGTTGCGATCGTGGCTCGAGATCCTCTCGGCTGCTTGCCGTATGCTGATCCACCGTCGTCGTGTCGTCAGCCGGATGATGCCTCCGATGCTTCCATGAGTTCAAAGCCCACTCCTCGTACTCCTTGGCAGATATGGCGCTGTCGCAGTCTTTGTCTGCAGCCTTGACCTGCTTGACGATGTCGTAGAAATCCTTGCCGTAGTACTCGTTGGCGGTCCCCATGACCAGGAGTAGACGTAAACTATCATCCGAGAGTCTCTCAAGGATAACATGGCCCAAACGGGGATCACAATTAAGCAACGCTGCCAAACGGAGCGCCACGTTCTTTTTGTATTGGTTGTGGATGTATGGGAGTCTTGGTCTCGTGCAATCAGCACTATGTGCTACTTCCGGCGGACTCTGAGAAGTCGTATCGGAAGACTGTAAGCCCTTTTCCAATCTCTTTAAGTTGGGGGGGATGTTCTGATGGGTTGCCACATTACTTGAATCCACAGGATTCGAACTCCCTCTTGATTCACCAAGGCGCTCCGGTGACAGAATAGATGGATTCACAGCACTCCTTTCGCCTTGACGCGAGTCGGCTGTGATTGCAACATCCTTTGTTGTCAAGGACCTATTTGTTTGCGAAAGGAACTTAGTCGGTGTCGAGGCAGAAAAAGGTGTATTAGTACCCACCAAATTCGAGTTTGCCGAAGGTATAGGCACGGAAAAGACAATCTCCCAAAATTTTGACCGCTTGTTTCGAATCCAACCGTCCGAAGGCAGCGAAGAAATCTGCGACTTCTGATCTGACATCGCTTCCGGGACCTGAGCCTCCCCTGAGACAATGTCTTCAGCCCCCACATTGGTGACCATGCTTACTGCCTCCGCAGATCGCTCTTCAGGAAGATCTTCTAAGTTGATGGGAAGAATACGTGGTATACCTGTAGTGTGCCCCTCAAGCTTCGGGCTTCTCCGTAGTGATGACTGCTTACTCATACTAGCCGTGGCAGCCGTTTTGGCTTTTTCTGCTACTGACCATGCTTGAAGAGCAATTCGTAGCTTCTGAGTGGCCATTTCGATCGACCCTTCCATATTCATCTCAGAATCATCTTTCCCAAAGCAGTCGGGAAGTGAGCCTTTCTGTGGTTGTTGGGAACTCTTTTTTTTAGACACGTGATTTATTTGCTTTGTTTCATCTTCTTTGAGCTCACTTTCCAAGCCTATGTTGCCTCTGTTGATAGAGGTATCTTGCTTACTCTCAGTGAAGATCTCCGGGGAATTCGAAAGGGTGTCGCTGTGGGGTTTAACTTTAGGTGAAAATGAGCGATAAAAATGGGCCTCGGAGGAAACACTGACGGATAAAGTGGAAAAAGCCACATGGTAACTACGGAAACGCCGCATGAAAAAATTAACACGCATCTTTAGTCTCATTTCTTATGAGGTCACTACGCATTTAAAATTGTCGAAAGGGGGGAATCATAGGAAATATTACAATCAAACAAAATTGTGTTTCCTTTTGTTTTGCTTTTGGATCGAAAGGTGCCCTATAAATGTGATTTTTCTAAAGTTGCTAAAGGAAAACTTGTAGTGCTATAAAAATGACAGAATTTTTCACCAAACTAAATGTAAATATTATATTAACGAATACTTTATGAATGACACCTATAATTTGTATCGTGCCGCTCTACTATGAGATTCAGCGTTCTTTGTATCGTACTAAACTCATAAAGAATATGAGGAAAGACCAAAGGCCTTCTATAAGAATGCAATAAACTATAATGATAACTATCTATCTCCTATGTGTTACTTTATTCACCTTCTCTAATTTAAGAATTAGAAAATGAAAAGTAAGACTGGCTAATGGCAAACAAAAGCTAATACAAATGCTACTAAATGGTCTATTCGAAAAGATCTGAAGTTAAATATTGGAGAAAACAAAGGTCAAGGGTAATAAGAAAAATTGTATTTCGAGGATCTCACTAGTGTGTTGTAAGAGCATTCAGATATTTAAACGGGTAACCTCACCATAAAGTGCAGATCGATTAGAAAATCTGCAAATCTCGCCACTCCTTCCGCTGCCGCTCCAGCTCCGCAGCAAGCTCTCGCATTTCTGTTTCTTTTTCTTCCATTCTCTTCCTTTTGCGGGAGGCCTCATCACCAAGTCGCATCGCTTCCATTTGTTGCTCTCTTAGGGCTTCCTGCCTACGCAACTCAAGTCGCTCCTCAGCTGTTAGTCCACTTGAAGACCCTGACTGTGGCTGCTGTTCCTGTCTATTTTGACCAGCTCGCTGAAGCATCTCCTCACGTAGTGCAGCCTCACGCTTTTGCTGCTGCAAAAAAGACATCTTAAACCGCCTAAGCTTTTTATCATCGCTTAGCTCCTTGTGTGCTTTTTCAAACAATTTAAACACATCAGAGACATGTGGTAGCTGACACTTGTCAGGATGTAGAGCTTGTGCCATTCGACGATAGCGTTTGTCCACGTCAGCGACCTCACATTGCGCTGGATCCAGATCCATGATTACAAAATAATCGTTCGATTTGCATCGCAGCAAGCGATCGATCTCAGCTGACTTTTGCTCATCGGTAGAAAGCCCTGAAGAGGAAAGCTTTGAAAGTGTGCCAAACTGAAATTTCGATGTTGATGACAACGGAGCGGAGCTTGACTTTTGTTGAGTAGAACCATTCGGTACAGAGGACGAGGTTGACTCGGAATGTACCTCTTTTCGCCTCATGTGAGCCCTCTTGAGGTGGTTCAAAACAACCTCCTGACTCAACAACTTGTGCGCTTTCTCTGCGACATGAAAAGCCTCGGCGGCATATGGTAGCTTGCATTTGTCTGGATGGAGATGCAAAGCGATGCGACGATATGCTTTGTTTACATCAGAAGCTTCGCAAGTCTCAATATCCAGCTTCAGAATTGCAAAGGGGTCTGACTTTTTGACCTGCGAATCCAGTAGTCGCCGTATTTCGGAAGCTTGCTCACTTTCGCTCATTACGAATTATATTACTATTACTATATTTACTCCTATGTTACCGTCAAACTATTGTATCCCTTATCCTTTATTTGAGATACACCTTTTGTGGATGGTTTGATGAAGAAGAAAGACAATTTTAATAAAGATGAATTTTCCTGAAGTTCTAATGAATTGAATCAGCTCTCAGGACACATGAATGATGCGGGAGGGTTACCCATGCATTGTGGCACTGGAAAGAAATAGAATTTGGAAAATTTCATTTTTCTATATCTACTGACGGGGGCTCATCACCACCAGGTTCATATATATATATATATATATATATATATATATATATATATATATATATATATATAT